GTATTTCTTTCAAACATACTTCCTGATATTGTGTTTTACTGTTTATTTTGCAAACAAGTTGATTTTGTTCTTCATTTTTCTTTCTAAGTTCAGTTTCCAGATCTAATATTTTAATTTGTAAAGCCCTCTCTCTAGATGACATTTTCTCTATTTCTTCAGAAACCTTTTGTCTTCCTTCTTCTAAAGCAGCTTCCAGCTGTCAAGCCAATGCTGTATATTCTGCAGACTTCTCTTTAAACTTAAGATTGCTGTGCTTAAGACATTCTTCTTGGTTTTCCAGCTTCTTTTCAAGCTCTTTATTTTCTGCATCCATCTGTTCTAATTTTGTTTAAGGTTTTCACACTTCAACTGAATAAGATAATTTTCCTCTTCCAGAGAAAGCTCTGTCAGAAGATTTTGATTTCCATCAAACTTCTCTAATTTTTTATTTTTGTTTTTTGTTATGTTATTTTCACATAGCAAATTTTCACATCTGCTTTTCACCATTTCAGCTGCTTCTTGCAATTTTTGTACCTGAGTTTTATACATTTCAATAAGGTTTTTCTGTTGTTTTTCTACTTCTTGCAATTCTGAGAGTTCATTTTCAACGGAAACAACCTCGTCCTTCAAAGCAGCAAATGAAGTCTTTAATTTTGTATTCTCAAGATTCAGAGTTTCACTTTCATGTTCAATAGAGTTTTCACCATTTCAGCTGCTTCTTGCAATTTTTGTACCTGAGTTTTATACATTTCAATAAGGTTTTTCTGTTGTTTTTCTACTTCTTGCAATTCTGAGAGTTCATTTTCAACGGAAACAACCTCGTCCTTCAAAGCAGCAAATGAAGTCTTTAATTTTGTATTCTCAAGATTCAGAGTTTCACTTTCATGTTCAATAGAGTGAAGTTTTCTAAGAATTTCTTTTCATCTCTAATTTTTTATTTTTGTTTTTTGTTATGTTATTTTCACATAGCAAATTTTCACATCTGCTTTTCACCATTTCAGCTGCTTCTTGCAATTTTTGTACCTGAGTTTTATACATTTCAATAAGGTTTTTCTGTTGTTTTTCTACTTCTTGCAATTCTGAGAGTTCATTTTCAACGGAAACAACCTCGTCCTTCAAAGCAGCAAATGAAGTCTTTAATTTTGTATTCTCAAGATTCAGAGTTTCACTTTCATGTTCAATAGAGTGAAGTTTTCTAAGAATTTCTTCACATGAATTTTTTCCCTGGTCCTCCATTTTCTTCAGGTCTTCCAAAAGATTATTGATTTGCTTTTTCATTGTTTCGATCTGAACTTCCAATTCGGTTTTTTCTATTACAACTTTCTCATAATGACTTTTCCAGGCATTGGAAGCTGAAATTGCTTCAGACAACTTGACTTCCTGGTTTCTAATCTGGGAAGTAAGGTTTTCAATGTCTCCAGTAAAATGTTCAAGCCTTTGTTTGTATATTTTAGATGCCTTTTTCAGGGCCATAGCTTTTTGCCTACTTGATTCTTTCATTGCTGCTGTCTCATGCTTATTCTTTTTCAATTGCAAGTTCCACTGGGCTATCTTGGTCTCTAAGCTCTTTATGTATTCTTTTAATTTATCATTTTCTGCTTCCTTTTTATGTATTTGGAGCTGTAGTCGTTCATGAACTACTTTAACTGATTGTGAAAAACGGCTAGCTTTCAAAGCATTTTCCTTTTCATTCTGAAACAAACAAGAAAGTTCTCAGATATAGGTCTCCTGTTCAAGTACCTTCTTTTTAAGATCAGTATTTTCACTTTCACTATCAGTTAGCTCCTCTAATATGCTGGATAAACTGTCCCTTTTAAGTTCCTTCCATAACCTTTTGAATATACTACTATACTTTGAATTCACTTTTTTATGTATGACACTCCCCCCCCCCCTATTTTCAAAATTAATTTCTTCAATGTTGTCCTTACATGGCAAAAGTGATTCTACAGCATAGGCTGCCAACTCAGCTTCCTTAAGTGTTGCTTCCAACTCAGTCTTTTCATTTAGGATGTCCTCCTTCAGACAGCTGAGATGACTTTCCCTGATGTGCGGTGGTAAATGTTCTTTTTCTGGTCTGCTTTTAAAATGGGAAATCAGTTCTGAATGACTTCCGTCATTTGCAGGCTTCTCCATAAATTCGGTCAATGATAGATGGCTTCCACAACAACTTCTCCACATGAGCTGTGCTCTCCAGCCCCGGGTCGGCTGGGAGGGGGCAGGTCGCAGCGGGCAGTGCAGCAGGTGAAAGCTAGGAAGGAAGGCAGGGACCTGAGCGGAAGCAGGCGAGCCCCTAGAATCGCTGGCGGTGGGACTGTGCCTGCTAAGGCGCGGAGGGACCAAAGCAAAGCTGGTAACCAGCGGATGGCTTCTCTGGCAACCCAGTGTTTATTAACATACAGTTCATTTTCAGAATTTAAAAGAATCTACAGAAATGAATAATTTTTTCGGTCAGTGCCTGATGACTGTTCTGGTCCAGGAACTGCTGATAACACAAAGCAATGGAATCAAGAATCATTTCGTTTGGTATTTGTGTGTCCTCAGGTCATTGACAGTTGCCAGTTTTGTACCATAGACTTCCTTTTATGTATCCCTATAAAAAAGTCGAGGGGCACTTTAGGATAAATTTTCTTTGTTCAAAGCTTAGTCTGACTTCACCCATTATTTCAAATGAGTTAAATCTGAAAAAGAGTGAAAATTAAATGACTTATCAGATGTTAGAGTGTGTGTACATTTTTGGGGGGACACTAGACACACACACACACATACATACATATATACACACTGAGTTCTTCAAACTTTATCACTGAAGTTAATTTCTGCTAAATAAATTATCTTCATTGTGACCATATTTTAGGGGACAATGGTATTTTTCTGGTGGAATCAATTTTTATTAATATTTAAATGTGGAAACCAATAAGATCTAATTTGCAAGAATTAGTTAGCCTTTTAAAATAATTTACATCATGTAAATTTCTCAACAGAATTTCTTTATCTAAAAATTTTTTTGTCTCATCAACTCAGAAAATTTTTATAGATAACACTGATCCTCCTTAAGTAGTTTAATAAAGATCATTGGGGTTGGATAAAATGATCAGTATCTATTGTAATTAAGATGATGAAAAGGAACAAAATTGAGATAAGAGAATAGATTTTAAAATGTTTTCTCAGGGGTTAAGTGTTATAAGATAGTCAACACTTGATTAAAACTGCTTCTTCCAACCATATATTACTACATTCTGTTGTACCTAAAATGTGTTTCATGTTTAGAGGTTATTAGTTTTCAAGGGTCTTGAGATTGCATTAGTTTTACTATGTTAGTGGTATCTTCTAGCTCAAAGTATTATAAGCATCTTTGGAGATAATGTGTCTTAGAGAAAAGCACGCTACATGTTTTGTGGGACTTAGCCTCTGAACAATAATTTGGGGATAGGAAAATAAGGGAGGCCTTTAATGATGACTCAGATAAAAGATGCATAAAATGTCTTGAGTACTTTAGCTTTTTAACCAGTTAACTTTTTTTTAGGCTTTGAACTAACAATTGATCACCCACATACACATGTGGTAAAGTGCACTCAACTTGTTCGAGGTAAGGAATCCCAGCTTGAGTGAGTGCTCTAAAATTGTTTTACCATTTAGAGCAGTGGTTCTCAACCTGTGGGTCACGACCCCTTTGGCGGTTGAACAACCCTTTCACAGGGGTTGCATATCAGATATTTACATTACGATTCGTAACAGTAGCAACATTACAGTTATGAAGTAGCAACGAAAATAATTTTATGGTTGGGTCACAACATGAGGAACTGTATTTAAAGGGCCAGAAGGTTGAGAACCACTGATTAAGAGGCTAAAATTGCTGTATACAAATATATAACACAGCTGCTAATTAATGTGTTTAGGTCATCTCCATTTAAAGAGTTAGTCTCTTGAGGGATGTTTGTGAAAGCTGGGGGCAGATTTTGAAAAGTCACCAAATCATAAGTAACTAATAGCAATTTTAAGGATGTTTTGGGAATGGGCTATCTTAATTTGATTGTAGGGTTGATTGTCCTAGGCATTCTTTGAGACCACCCAGAGGATCATTTAGAAGTTATTTGAACTTATTTCCTTGATTGACAATCCTTTTTATTTTAATTTTAGTAGCAATAATTGCATGGAACCCAGTTTCTCTTACTCAGTTTAAATATTAGTATCAAGAATATCAACGTATCATTGTGCATTTCAGTACCTTTTGTAGACCAAACTGATAATTGGTTTATTTTGAATTTTGTTTATGTGTGTTTTATCTGAAAATTCCAAAAATTTTCCCTGAGTTTTTGATATTTCGAAAGCATTAAATAAATGGCTTGTGTTGAGCAAGGATAGGCTTAAAGATGGACATATGCTAATATTTAATCTAAGGAAGATGAAAATTTGTTTTGTCATCCAGAGCAGTTTTTTTGTTTTGGAAGAAGAAACTTTCTTTTGGTAATATATTAAATAACTTGTTATTTGATTACTTTAGGATTAAATCACAGGTTACTTAATTTAAACTTACTATTTTAAAGCACAAATCACTTTTCCCAAACATATCAAGGTCTTTTAGATTCTGATCTTGCCTCCACAGTAGTTCATCCCCTAATTTAGTATTTCTCAGTGAACTGTTGTATCAGAATCTGGGTACTTGTTAAAAATGCTTGGGTCCTTCTTCAAACATACTGAGTCAAAACTCTAAGGAGGATGTCTAGAAATTGCATTTTAAACTAGTATCAGATACTCAGTGTAAAGAATAAAGCTTAAATTCCTAGGACTGGAAGCAATCCAGTTATTTATAATTAAAAATTACTAATCTGTTTTTGGTAGAATGTAAACTTCATGTGGCCAGGAACCATGTCAGCTTCATTTACCACTATATTATCTACCTTGCAAATATTAAATGCTACTAATTTATTGTTGAGAATATATGGAACTAATAATTTTTTCCCTCCCCCTCACTTTTTTTTTTTTTTAGCAAGCAAGGACTTAGCACAGACTTCTTACTTCATGGCAACCAACAGGTTTATATTTTAATATTTTTCCTTTATATTTTTGGGTTAGAACTTTACTTGGGTTGGGATTGTCACTTTTTGAAGGGCATAAGGAATGATGTCAGGTTTGGCACTTTTTAGTAAACTAGAATCCAAAGACCCAAGCATGGATCTTTGATTACAGTGTGTCAAACAATTCTCTGGTTATGTTGAATTTTATGCAATTTTCATGTTGTGCTTTACATTTTCATGGTGTTTTTTAAATTTGCTAAGGTGATGTATTTATATACTACTGATTGGTAACCTTCTTAATTCTGCATTTTACTTAGCTTTAAAATATCCAAGAACATAGTTCTGAAAGTTGGTAAACTTGGAATTCATTGATAGTGACTAAAAATCTGATTTGGAGGATTTTAAAAGACTCTTTGTTTTTCCCATACTCCCAGATAAATGGGCATATATATGTGTAAAGAATTGTAATACTTTTTCTTTTTAAAGAAAAAATTAATACATAACTTGTATTATCAAATGACTTGCTCATTCTTATCTCCAGTCTGTTGGTTGTGTTCATGGAAACCAAAGATATTCCTAATGACTGTCAGGGCTAAGAAGTTCATTTTAATAGACAGATAAGAGAAATTTTAAAAATAAACCAGCAATTGAGCATATTCATACTTGAGAGAGTGATTGTCTATTTATTTCTTTAAATAGACCAGATCTATGATTGGCAAGAGACAAGATAATTTTTAGGATATTTTCTTAAATATTTAATAGAAATTATACATATTACAAACCTTATCATTTTCCTTAAGTTCCGAGCTTATTCTCAGAATAATTGATCCTTGTTTTAAAAAACTGAGTACCCAGTTTATTTTACGTTTTTGTTTTTGGTCCATTATATGAATTGAATGATGCGTAGTCAGAAAATTTATAAATGTTACCTGAGCTGGTGGGTTAATGGAAAGTAATGTTTAGTGCTGGATCAGAGCACTGGGTATTTCTTACCCTACTTGCTTGCCATTGGTGTTTTTTTTTTTCACTTTTTTTTCTTTTGTTTTTGTTTTTTTTTAAAATAATGGAGAGTTTAACTTTGGGTTCAGAATTGAGAGCTCATGATACTCTCTTGTTTCCTTCCCTCTGATGTCAGCCTGCATTTGACCACATTTAGCCTGCAGTACACACCTCCTGTAGTGGCCTGTGTCTGCATTCATCTGGCTTGCAAGTGGTCCAACTGGGAGATCCCAGTCTCAACTGATGGGAAGCACTGGTGGGAGTATGTTGACGCCACTGTGACCTTGGAACTTTTAGATGGTAAGTTTTAGAGTAAGGGTCCTTGAAAAGCACTTCATCTTGATCTGTCACATATCTGGCCAAAGGTGACTTGATTCAGATGAAAATAGTTAGTTGAGGTTATTCTTGTTTCATTACTTTGTGAGTTTTTCTTAAATGCTCTATTTCATTTGTAGAACTGACACATGAATTTCTACAGATTCTGGAGAAAACCCCCAACAGGCTCAAACGAATTCGGAATTGGAGGGTAAGAATTATTGTTGTCAGCTTATGGAACAGAACAAACTGTTTTCTTTTTTGGAATTTCCCTTCTTGTAGTTATGCTGTAATCATAACTTCAACTTCATATCTTGGGGTACAGGCCCAGAGGCAATGGCTGTAGGTGATAGCAGAATTTGTTTTGTGTTTTACAACTCTTGTGATACAGTCATTTGGTCAGCAACGTTGGTTGAGTATTTTCTGTGTGGAGACTGTTAAGGGGAAAAACATGGCTTCTTTGAGTCATAGAGTTTTGGCTTCTGGTAGAGGAAAGATACAAAGCTACAGGGTTAGAGCTGATACCATAATTTTGTCTTTATATTACCTGCTTTTGAAATGGATTTTAGAATTTTGTTTTTATATAGATTAAGGTCTGAAGTTGTCTTTCAGATATTTTTCAAAGTCTTACTTATGAATAATGAAATAATTCCTCTTTTTATCCAATGTCAGAAAGTTTATTTTAAAAACATTCCTGAGTCCAGCCAACATGGCTCAGTGGTTGAGCATTGACCTATGAATCAGGAGGTCATGGTTTGATTCCTGGTCAGGGCACAGGCCCGGGTTGTGATTTGATCTCCAGTG